GAAGGCAGGAACGCAAACAGAAACCTGTCCACCCATGTTCACTGCAGCACTTTCCACAATGGCCAAACGGTGGCAACAACCGAAATGTCCATCAACAGATGAACGGACACACACAACGGGTCCATGCAGACAATGGAACAGTACTCAGCCATAAGGAGAAATGACGTCCTGATGTACGTCACAACATGGATACACCCTGAAAGCATTATGCTGAGCAGAGTAAGTCAGCTTCAAAGGGCACATACAGGCAGTCCCTGAGTTAGCAACATTCAACTTACAGACAACTTGTACTTAAGAACGGACTGCCATCAAGCCCACTATATATTAAAAATTTGCGTTAAAGACATACGATGGCTTGTAGTACCGAACACATGCACTACTTCGTGACGCTCGTGAAAACATTACTTTAATCTTATGTGGTTCCGAACTATTTCTTACGTGTTTTATAGGCATCCCACTGCCATCGAGTCGATTCCGGCTCATAGCGACCCTACAGGACAGAGCAGAACTGCCCCATAGGGTTCCCAAGGCTGTAAATCTTTCTGGAAGCAGACTGCCACATTTTTCTGCAGTGGAACAAACGGCTGGTGGGTTCAAACCGCCAACCTTTTGGTTAGCAGCTGCGTTGTTTAAACACTGCGCTATCGGGGCTCCTTTATATGCACAGAAAGGTAAAATATATACTATATTATTAAAACAAACATTTGACTAATTGACGCTAAATAAGAACCATATGTACCTGTTCTGACTTACCTACAAATTCAATTTAAAGACAGACTTAGGATCGGATCTCGCTCATAACCCAGGGATTATCTGTACTGTACGATCTCGCTTAAATGAAATAAGCAAACACAGGGAAACCAAAGATTCTGAGTGGTTACTGTGGGTGGGAGGGAAAGATGGAGTGCTTGCTGAGGGGGCAGTGAGTTTACATGAATGGTGACGGCATGATTTGGAAAAGGGTAGTGAGAATGGCTTCACATCTTGAAGAACGTTATCAGTGTCACTGAATTATACACGTGGGAACTGCTGAGATAGTGTACGTTTTGTTACGTATATTTTCACCATAATTTAAAAAAAAAACAAAAGGCAAGGACCCACCTGTCAAAACACTGGCCATGCAGCAGAGACTTGGCATAGGCGTCCATGGACATGTCAGGGTCATCCTTCCTGTACCCTTGCTCAGTTTCATCCAGCGTCACGAAGAAGGCTGCCTTTTCCACGGCATCAAGAGACTGCTTATTTTTCCCACGTGCAAAGTACGCTTGGCGGCACCTGGCCCAGGGCACCCTGCGGGAAGGGTGAGACGCAGTCAAACACACGGTAGCGTAGCTACTCTCCGCGCTCCGGGTGGACGGGGAGCCCTGGAGGAGTTTCTTCCAAACCCTCTCGTTACCGTGGGCCTAACGGTATGCCAGCCGCTTTTTACGCCTCTGGACCTCAGGGGTAAGACGCTACTCTGGTTCTAATGCGTTTACCATCAAGGTGGGTCCCTTCTGAAATGCGTGAAGCTCAGCAGACCAAGTTGGAGCCTCACTGTTGTGTATGTTGTGGCTGTGTTAAGTTTCAGAAGCTTTTGTAAACCTTTGCCTTTTTTCGCTTTATTTCTGTGAGTTAAGGCTTGCAAAGAGAATTATGGCTCTTCTGGGTGACAGGGAGCCCTGATGGGTTTGTTTTGATTTTTCTGTGCCATATTTGGAAAACCAGAGGTTCCCCATATAACCTCATGGAAAGGCATCAGCAATAAATTATCTACCTAGTTCTCAATTGCGTACTGTCATGCCACAGATCAGTGGCACCGAAGTGCCACTTGCCTCATTGGTGGCTTGCGTTGCCAGATCATATTTCTCAAAATCCACATTAGCAACCAAAAATTAAACACACTCAATTAGGACGCATGCATTCCAATCCTGAAAACGCACGCCATCCAAAAAATTAATTCAAAAAATTGGTAACCAAAGGGTTAAGGAGCACAACAGACTCAGGGCGATCTACTTCCAAAAAATCAGCCACTGAAAACCCCATGGAGCACAGTTCTACTCTGACACACATGGGGTCACCGTGAGTCGGAATCAACTCAGCGGCCACTGGAAAAAAGTTACCTGCACACATATCTGCCTGGCAAAGGTAACGCACCGTGTTCTGACTGCCCGCCACAGGACCAAGGGCAGTAAGGGTTGGAGCTCCATGCTAGGTGTTACCACAGGCCACAGAGACCAGCAACCACCCTCCAAACAGACCACTGGGTACAGAAGGGAACTGTAAAGAGACTACTGAAACCAAAAAGCCCATCGCCATCAAGTCAGTTCTGACTCATGGCAACTCCATGTGTTTCAGAGTAGAACTGCTTCATAGGGTTTTCTTGGCTGTAATCTTTATGGAAGCAGAGCGCCAGGCCTTTCTTCCGTGGTACCGCTGGGTGAGTTTGAACCACCAGCCTTTAGGTTGATAGCCAAATAAAGCATGTGCACCACCCAGGCACCTTGAAGAGCTTACGAAAACGCTGTAAAAGGCTGCAGCTGATATAAGAGGGGCTGCCCACCTCTCTCCCGCAGTGAGTGCCGCCAGCTTCGCTTCTCCCGCCTGGGGCTCAGATGGATCGTCCAGAATCCTCTGTATCTGCTGCTCGATCTCCCGGGGCTTCAGCAGCCGGCCGTCATGGTAGAGCCAGACCTTGAAGTAGCGCCCTCTGTGGTACACAACAATGTGCTTGCTGTCTTTTACGTGCTGGATGGTATCTGAAGCCACGGCGCCGGTCGGAGATACAAAAATCAGAGTGGCAAGTAAGAACAATTTAAAAATACTTACACTCCCAACTTTTAAAATGGCACTCAATTTCTGCATTACTCTAATCAGTTTAAGGAGTTCCTTTCTCAAAAGTCTGTAAAGGAGTAAGAACGGATTGACACAGTGACTTCAACATTGAGCTCAAACATAGCAACGACTGTGAGAATGGCGCACGACTGGACGTCCCGTTCCGTTACACGTGAGGTCGCTACGCGTCCCGTTCCGTTACGCGTGAGGTCGCTACGCGTCCCGTTCTGTTACGCGTGAGGTCGCTATGAGTCAAAGCCAACTCAAAGGCAACTAACAACAACACAGAAGAAGGGCTGAGAGCTTTGGAATCAGACAGCCCCAACTTCTAAGTTCAGCTCGGCCACTCACTGAATGCATGATCTTGGCGGCAAATTACTTAACCTCTCTAGGCCTTCATTTTCTCATCTGTAAAATGAAGATGATACTAGGTCCCTTGTGTGGTTGTAAAGAATTAAAGGACAATATCCACAGGGCACTCGTTCATACACAAGAAACATTCCAAATGCGTCCTTATTTTTTACTAATTAATTTACAATAGGGCAACTAGGAAAACGTTCTTAGAAGGGAGTGGGAAATTACTAAAACAAAGAACCTGTAAACATGCAAACGCCCCCCAGAGAGAAACTTAAAAAAGCTTAAACATAGCAAGAATATGGTGAAGTAAGTTTACTGAAGAGGTTATTTATCAAGTCCTCCCAAGGACTGCTGGGTGTGGGGCACGCAGTCACGGCTGTGCAGGGGCACCAGGCTTACTTAGTGGGGAAGGCATGCTAAGGGCACATTAGCAATATGACAAGTATTACAAAGTGTAAGAGGCTAAGAAACCATAAGGCAACAGAACCAGCGTAGCCTGTAGACACTGAGAAAGTCCTGCCCCCGCCCAAGGAAGTGATAGTTCGAGAAAGAACTGGCTGGATAAAGCACAAAACTAAAAACCCAAAACCGCTGCCGTTGAGTCCCTAGCGGATAGAGCAGAACTGCCCAGAGGGTTTCCAAGGCCGTCATCTTTACAGAAGCAGACTGCCACAGCTTTCTTCCGAAGAGCGGCTGCTGGGCTCGACCTCCAGCCTCTCAGTGATCAGCCAAGCGCTTTAACCACTGCGCCACCAGAGCTCCTCATACACAGGAGCGGGAAAAGAGGCCACCAGCTAGGGGAACTCTGACTGAAGCAGCAGCAACGGGTGATTATTAAAGTGATCATTTTAAAGGAAAAAGGGAAGTCACATATGGTATGGAACATTTACAGGAAGTGTCCAGAATAGGCAAATCTGTGGAGACAGAAGTAGATTCTGGGTTGCTGGGAGCTGGGCGAGGGGGAGGTGGGAGTGACTGCTAATGGGTGCGGGGTTTCTCTCTGCAGTGATGAAATTATTCTAAAAGGGATTATGGTGATGGTTACACAACTCTGTAAATATACTAAAAACCACTGGATTGTACACTTCAGGTAAATTGTAAGGTATGTAAATTATATCTCAATAAAATTAAAAAAAAAAAAAAAAAAAAAGGCAGCAATGAGGGTGGTTAGAATGGCCTGCCATGAAGGTATTGAATTCAAGGGGGCCAGGTCCATCGCCCCCCTCTCCACGGGAGGGTCAGCTGTATTGCAGGTTAGGGGACGCAGGCCACAGGCAGGACACCCTATGTCCCAGTGGGCCTGGAACGGTCCTATTTGGTGCCCATTGTCCTCTTTCATTCCCAAGTGTCCTGACTCAGATGATCAATTCCGAGGCCACTCTGCATAGAGGGACTCCTGTGTCCCTGGCCAGGCGGCTGGTACCTGAGTGGCTGACCACAGGTCAGGTACCTTAACTACGGCCTGAGTTCATCCCACAACCCACCCTGCACTTGGCCAGGGCAAACTGCCCCTGGAGGACCCAAATGAAGGAATACAAGCATTTCTAAGCAGACCTAGGAAACACACTCTCTAAGGCAGCCTTTAACTGAAGAGAAACGGGAGTCCAGAAATAGGTTGGCTGCCTTGGCCTAATGAAGAGAAAGGAGTCTCAGCCGGAGGAAGGTCACCCCTAAGATCTGAGGCAGGGTCAGCACACACAGGCATGGTCTCTGCTCTTCTCTGACATATCACTGTTCTGGGCACAAGGACAACTCGGACGGAGCTCTGCAGCAGCCCCGCTCACCTGTCTCCTCCCCCAGGGATCCGCCCCACTCACCTGTCTCCTCCCCCTCGAGATCCGCCCCCCTCACCTGTCTCCTCCCCCAGGATCCGCCCCACTCACCTGTCTCCTCCCCCGGGATCCGCCCCACTCACCTGTCTCCTCCCCCGGGATCCGGGAAGTGTTGAACATCCGCTCCCACTGGGCAGAGCAGAGTGGAATGGTGGATCCCAAAAGACAAAGCTGTAAGAAAAATGTCTCAAATGAAAAACAACTATCCACTGTTTTCTGCACACACAGCCTGGCTTGGCTTCAACTTTTCCAAACTCGAGACACCGAGCAGCCTGGGGACGTGCTTAACTGTGGCAGGCTGCCGCTTCCTACATCAGACGTCCTACTCTCCTACTCGGTTACTTGTAAACTGACGCCGAACCGCAGGGTGGGTGAGGAAGAGCTGTCTAGTTTCTCAGGAGCAGCTCACCGACAATATTATTCTCCTTGAAAAACACACAAGGGTTTCTTCGGAGGGCAAATTACAGAACTGAAATACGACAGAGGTATGTCCGTTAGGAGACACACACACACAAAAAAAACAAACAAACCGTTGCTGTCGAGTCGATTCTGACTCATAGAACAGAGAAGAACTGCTCCATAGGGTTTCCAAGGGGCGCCTGGTGGATCCGAACTGCCAACCTTTTGGTTAGCAGCCGTAGCACTTAATCACTGCGCCACCAGGAGACACAAGGAGAGTTAAATCTCAAAACAGTGATGCCGAGGGAGAAGCCAAACTGAAAAAGAGTACACAGTGTATGATTCTATTGATTTAAAACTCTGGAAAATGCTAACTACTCCAGACGGACAGAAAGCAGACTGGGGCTACCCGAGTGGGCCTGGGGGGCCGGACAGAGGTGGGAGGGGGAGATGATAGAGCGGCCCCTGGGGGTGATGGATATGTCCACTATCTTAATTGAGATGGTAGTTTCATAGGTAGGGGTGTGTGCGTGTGTGCGTGTGTGCGTGTAATGTCAGAGCTTATCAAACTGTACACTTCAAACACATGCAGTATGTCACTTATACCTTAATAAAGCTTTGTTTAAAAAGTTTTAAAAAAGCAGTTTGTTTATGCTACGGATTGAATTGTATCCCCCAAGAAGATATGTTGACGTCCTATCCCTGGGACCTGTGAAGGTGACCTTGTTTGGAAAATCTTTGCAGATGTAATTAGTGAAGCTAAGGTCACACTGGAGTAGGGTGCGTTGTAATCCCATCTGGGTGGTGTCTTTATCAAAGGGGTGAAGAGACAGAGACACACACAGGGGAGCAGACCATGTCAGGACGGAGGCAGAGACGGGAGTGAGAGGCAGAGACGGGAGTGATGCTGCAGTCTTAAGCCAGGGATTGCCTGGGGCCACCAAGAGGAAGGAGGGGGACACAGAAGGACCCGCCCCCAGAGCCTCCAGAAGGAATCAACACAGCTGATACCCTGGTCGGGGATTCCCAGCCTCCAGAACTGTGAGACAATCAATCTCTGTTGTGTTAAGCAAGCCCCCTACTCAGCGGTCCTTTCTCGGGCTGCCCCAGGACGCCCACACCGTGTACGTACGGGTTTGAGTTCCTCCCGGTCGAGCTGGCGTCTGTAGAGCAGGATGGCGTGGATGGTGTTGCCCGCCCTGGCCGCCTGGATGTGCGTCGGCACAATGTACAGTAAGTCCTGGAGACGGAGGACCATGAGGGCGGAGAGAACATCAGTAGGCAAACAGAAGGTCACTGAAGTGCACTGCAGAGCGTCTCCACACCGTTAAACTAATAAATACAAACACTGAAAGTCCGAGGACAAGCGGGATATCAACAGATTGGAGCACCTCCCCACAAAACACTCCCTAATCACAACGGCGGGGACAGGAAGCACAGGAAGAAGCCTGACAGACGACACCTTACTGGAGAGCTCAGAGTGAACACCAGCTGGGGGCAAACTGGATTCATGTCACCCAACAGGATGCCGTGAGGATGCAGGGTTTCTTCTGTGACGTTTCTGCAAAGACTACATCCCCTGAATTCAATCCTGACGACACCTCAGACAAACCCAAACTGAGAAAACGCATAACAGAACAACTGCCTTGTCATCTTTTAACATGTCATCGAAATCCAGAGAAGGCTGAGGAACTACCTCCTTGCCCGGGGAGGTCAGAGATGTGACAACTCAGCACCCCGACTCGCAACTGGGTGCTCCTGCTGTAAAGGCTGTTACTGGGACAATCGGGACCGTGAGTGGGGTCCCAGGGTCGGGCGACAATAACATATCTGCATGAACTTCCTGATAACGTAGGAGAGCCTGCTTTGCTGGGTGGAATTAAACACAAAAGAATTCCAGGAGAAAGGGCATCAGATATACCACTTACCCTCAAACGGTTCGTGAAGAAAACACAGTTTTACATACTACACTTGCCATTTTTCCGGAAGTCTGAGATTGTTTCAACAGGGGAAAAAAAGGAAAGAGAAAGAGAAAGTTTAAAGAGGAAGAAAAAGCAACCTCTAGGTAAAGAGAAGTGAGGAAATGGAGAACAGAAAGAAAGGAAAAGAGAAAGCATTTGATGAGCCGGGCATCAGCAGTGGCCTGGAACCCAGGTCGAGGGGTCTTCTAACCAAAGAACCATCCATGCTCTCCAAACAGGTTCACGCTTCCAAAGACAAAGGAAGACCGAGAAGTGAGAACTCAACACAATGCGCAGTCCTCCGCGGAATCTCGGGGATGAGGGAAAAACACTCCCCATGTCGTCGAGGGGCAAACCCTTGGCCAACTCACTGTCCCTAAGCTCCTGGGGAAGCAGGATATGGTCCCCTAACGCGAGGGCTAGTGACTACCAGGTTACACTCCCAAGTCATGAGAGCAGGCGCATGGAATCCAGTTTGCCACGAGCATATTTTTTTAATCCAAATTTCTCGCAGTACTCAGTACCCTTGAGATATTAACCAAACGCCAAAGGGAGCCATGTGGCTCCCCGGCGGGAAAGCAGGTCCCTAGACTCTGCTGTAGGAGAGTGAAGCCTTGGACCCTGGAAGCAGGACCAAGAGGCGCACTGGCCAAGCCCCAAGCATTCCAAGCAGCCGGCGGGGCTGTGAAGACATCGCCCCTGCAGGATGGCCAGACGTCTGGTCGTCCAGGTCTGCATGAGGCCATCCTGGACCTGAGGACTCACCATGGCGTAGTAGTTGCTGTTGACCATCAGCGGCCCTCGTCCTCGGAGATAGATGTACTCTTCCCACCAGTCACTCACCTGATGGGCAGAGAGGAGAGAGACAGGCTGAACAGGCACGAACATGGCAGGGTGGCAGGGCAGGTAGCATGGGGACAGGCATGCAGGGCTTCCCATCAGAGGTGCTAGGAGGTCCCTGGGTGGTGCAAACAGTTTGCACTTGCCTGGTAACTAAAAGGTTGGAGGTTTGAACCTGACCAGTGGCAACACGGAAGAAAGGCCTGGCAATCTGCTGCTGTAAGAATTACAGCCAAGAAAATCTTATGGAGCTGTTCTACTATGTAGCACAGAGTCTCCTAAGTCCGATATCAACAGTGGAGTTGCTGGGCTCCTTACAGCGTCTAACAGGCCCTTCCAGAAGGCTGCCACAACGAGACGGAGCACAAGAAAGTGGGGACATACAGTTTTTCAGTCAAGACACAGTTAGAAGGTGGATTGCTTTCATTTTACAGATGGTTAAAGAAAAAAGGCCCAATAAACATAAGAAATCAATGTTTTACCACTAATTTTCTTTTGGGTTGGCATGGTAGCTGCAAGAATGGGCTCAAATATACCAACAATTGTGAGGATGGTGCAGGACCGGGCAGTGTTTCGTTCTCTTGGACACAGGTCTCCATGAATCGGAGCTGACTCAACCGCAACTAACAATAAATTTTCTTTACAACACATTTGATTTTATAACCAAATCCAAATGCCCCCACTGACTGCCCTCCTCTTCCTGGGCCTCCCTGAAGGAGCCACTCTGTCACACACGCCCCCGGCTGTCAGTCACCTTTTTGGGCCAGGTGCTGACCCCAGGAGCCCACACGTGTTGTCTTCACTTCCCAGGACCCAGCTGGCCAGCACCTTCCTCCCACTAAACCCACCGGCAGCTCTCTCTCTTCACGGCCTCCTGGGCCAGGGACTGCTGTTTTAAACTTTTTGTTGACATCCATGTACATAGAGAACAGTGCATGTACAAGGCGGAGAGCTTGGCAATATTTACAAACAACGCACTCCTGTGAACCAGCTCCAGAGCGTCCCGTGCTCCTTCCCATCACTGCCACCCACCACCCTCCCCACTCCCAACACCGTCCTTTAGCTCTCTTGGGCCACTTTCAGCTCCCCCGTCTTCCTTGCTAGCTGCTCCTCCACCCTGGATCCCCTCCCCTGTTCATCACCGAGCATCTCCCCTTCCCCTCCAGGCATAGGAGAGCTCGGCGGGTTCACAGGCAGACTGGCCAGCGAGGACATTCACTCAAGGGCAATGCGAATGATACTCCTGGGCCAGGTTCCAGCCCCAGAGAGGCAGCCAAGGAATCTGCCCAATCCCACAGTCACCAACAGCATCCTGGACCCTGGCCAGCAAGCTCAAGGATGATGCCCTTGGACATAAAAGGGACCGGACGAGAGGAGAGGGAGGAGCAACTCGGAAAAGGAAGGTGGGAACAGTTGCACAACTCAAACAATGTAACCAGTCTCACTAAATTGGACCTGTAGAAACTTCAATTGATGTATGTTCTGCTGTGGATATTCTCAACAGCAACAACAAAAATAAATTACTTACCAAAAAAAAAAAAAAAATCATTAGATGGATGAAGTTCCTAGGCTAGAAGACAAAGGACCGTAGACTCAGGGGACGTCTACATCAACTGGAACAACATAGTTCATAAAGACAATGTTCTGCATCCTACTTCGGTGAGTAGCATCTGGGGCCTTAAAAGCTTGCAAGCAGCCATCTAAGATACAACTATTGGTCTCTTACCACCTGAATCAAAGGAGAATTAAGAAGGCAAAGACTCAAGAGAGGAATTAGTTCAAAGGTCTAACGCATCACATGAACCACAGCCTACATGTCCCCGAGACCAGAAGAACTAGATGGTGCCCAGCTACCACTACTGACTGCTCTGACTGGGATCACAACAGTGTGTCCCAGACAGAGTGGGAGAAAAGCTATAGAACAAAAAATCAAATTCACAAAAAAGACCAGCCTTACTGGCCTGATAGAGAATGGAGGAACCCCTGAGACTATGGCCCTAAGACACCCTTCTGAACTAGAGTGAAGCCATTCTCAAAGATCACCTTTTAGCCAAACAACAGACAAGCCCTTAAGATAAACAATAACACTCAAGAGAAACGCAGTCCTTAGAACAATTAATTATAGGAGATCAAAAGGGCAGTATCTGCCTCCACTGCTCTCACCCCTTCGGGAGCAAGGGAGAATGAAGAAAACAAGATACAAGGAAAAGATTAGTCGAAAGGACTAATGGACCACAACTATCACAGCCTCCGCCAGACTGAGTCCAGTACAACTAGATGGTGCCCGGCTACCACCGCTGACTGCCCTGACAGGGATCACAACAGAGGGTCCCGGCCAGAGATGGAGAAAAATGTAGAACAAAATTCTAACTCACAAAAAAAGACCACACTTACTGGCCTGACACAGACTGGAGAAACCCTGAGTATGGCCCCCGGACACCCTTTTAGCTCAGTAATGAAGTCACTCCCGAGGTTCACCCTTCAGCCAAAGATTAGACAGCCCCATAAAACAAAACAAAACTAATGGGGCACATCAGCCCAGGCACAAGGACTAGAAGGCAGGAGGGGACAGGAAAGCTGGTAATAGGGAACCCAAGGTTGAGAAGGGACAGTGTTGACATGTCATGGGGTTGTTAACCGATGTCGTAAAACAATATGTGTACTAACTGTTTAATGAGAAACTATTTGTTCTGGAAACCTTCATCTGAAGTACAATAAAGAACAAGGGAAAAAAAAGGGGAGGGGCAGTATCTGCCCAAAAGCAAAGATGAGAAGGCAGGAAGGGGTAGACCATCAGGACGAAAGGAAATGGGGAAGCCAGGGTGGAAATGGCAAGGGTGCTGACACATTGTGGAGAATGAAACCAAGGTCATGAAATACTTGTTGTACAAACTATCAAATGGGAAGCTAATCTGCTCTGTAAACTTTCACCTAATGCACAATTGAAAAAAAGAAATTTCTGTTCTGCTTTTTAAAGAAAAAAATCATTGGAAGAGCAGAAGGTCCTCCTTGAGGGAAAAAAAGGGGGTTTCAATCACCAAGTTATTTCTTACACAAACAGAAGAAAAAAGTAAAACGAAAAGGAATGTAATCTCAAATCTTCCCGAACATTTGCCTAATAAATCATAAAATAACAAAAATTATCCTTTTTTCGAGGTGATAAAAAAAGGACATTTTGAAACAATGAAAAGAAAAAAGAGGCGAGCTGGTGGCTGGGGCAGCTCGTTCACTAGGACTGCAGGAGAAATGACTCAAAGCAAGGTTCCCGTGAAAAGACCCAGGGGGTCCCCCCGGCCCCGGTATGAAACAGCCTCCTGTCTGGTGTTGGATGCCAATTCTCCTAGCCCGGTAACCTCTGCGCACAGGAAAACGGTCAGGACCTGCACGGCAGTCCTGCGGGGTTACCCCCCTGCACGCGGGGTGAAATGCCTGCTGCTGTTGTCAGCTGCCAACTCATGGCAACCCCACGTGTTTCAGAGTAGAGCTGCTCCATAGGGTTTTCAAGGCTGTGACCTTTCGGAAGTAGACTGCCAGGCTTGTCTTCTGAGGCGCCTCTGGATAGATTTCAGTCATCAACCTTTCAGCTAGTAATCAAGCGCTTAACCGTTAAATTGTCACTGTAACTGTACATACGAGTACCCCTCTGGACACAGGGTGAAATTGTCAGTCTAAATACACATTGGAACTAACGTGCAATCTTGTGTCATCTAAACTGACAGATCAGCTCTGTGTTTCCTGCCCCCCAGCCTGGTATTTTCATACAGCCACCACATCATCAAAAGAAACAGCATGTGTACACACTTACGTAATTCATAGCCCACCAGGATTTTAGCTTCAAGTACCACTGCAATTTTGGTCCAAGGTTGATGGCAAAATCCTGCGCCAGCTCTGTCATCCGTCTGAAGTCCTCCTCCTTCATGAGGGGCCTCACAGACTCCAGGTACTGGAGTTAAGGGAAGAAAAAGCAAAGTCAACACACACCAGTCAGAGCTTACGGTGTCTTTACCCATGCCCTAGAGAAAACATAGCTGACTGAAAAGATTTAACGTCTTCCCCATGCTGGCTCTGCTGCTCCTCAGACAGGTTAGCTAACTTCAATGCTACATGTTTTAGGTTCAGAACAAACAATTCAACTTCTTTATCCCTCACTGGCACAAAAGCTCCCCAAGTCCCGCATCCCCACACAACCACCAGAGTAAATTCTACGGCGTAAGATCACCATTCAGTCACTGAGAAAACTTCTATAGTGTCTTCTATCCATGATGTGACCTTTAATAAGATATCTGTCCTCTAAGCTGCAATGGCCGGAGATAGTGGGGATGAGGGGAGGTGGGCCGTACCAACAGCAGTGCTGTGAGGGGTGTCAGCCACGTGCTCAGGGTGGCAGGATGGGAAGGAGGAGTGGGACAGAGGGGGACAGGGAGGTCATGTGGACAGGCCAAGGCCCTATCTCCAGGTTCAGGATTTTCAACTTCATCCCCTTTGACAAGCACTTGGGTGTAAAAACGTTATGTTTCGGCTCACACACCTAGCATTTTTAAATGTACACCGCAAAGCTTCTGAAACGTACAAAGCAAGAACTTACAGAAAGTAACAGTCACCAACCCCTGCTTTGTGACTTTAATCCAACAAGTTAATTGCTATTGTTGCTTGCTGCCATTGAGTCAGCCCCAACTCATGGCGACTCCATGCACAATGAAATGACATACTTGGTCCTGTGGATTGGACCACTGTGAGCTATAGGGCTTTCAATGGTTGATTTTTAGGAGTCGATCACCAGGTCTTTCTTCCTAGCCCGTCTCAGTCTGGAAGCGCAGCTGAAACCTGTTCAGCATCACAGCAACCCGCAAGCCTCCACTGACAGACAGGTGGTGACTGCACATGAGGTGCGTTGGCTGGAAATCAACTCCTGAGTGGAAGGTCAGAATTCTGCCACTGAACCACCAATGCCCCCAGATAAGTTAGTATCTGCTGTAAGAACTGCTCTGGGGCAGCGGTGCTCACTCGAGCCCCTCCTTGAGTGTTTAAAGATAGAATCTCATCCCTTAAGACAGATTAGTTGTTACACATCTTAAGGTTTATTCAGTGTAAAATGTATGCTAGTGGGACTGAAAATCACACTCCGAATGAGCTGAAGTCGAACAGAGATTTGAAGGAACTTGCTGACGCCAACTGGGAGCAAAGGACAGAGCCTGTGGAGCTTCTTGGTTATAGTTTAAAAATGGGCTGCAGAATGTGGATAAATTTGTGTGTTGCTAGTGGAAATGTAAAATGGCACAGCCACATTGGTAAACAGTCTGGCAGTGCATCAAAAAGTTCAACACAGAATTACCAAATGAACCAGCAATTCCGCTCCTATGTATATACCCCAAAGACTTGAAAGCAGGTAGGTGAACAAAAACTTGTACACAGATGTTCATAGCTGCATTATTCACAAAAGCCAAAAGGGGGAAACAATCCAAATGTCTATCAACAGAAGAATGCATAAACAAAAGGTAGCCCTTCCATACCAAGAGATTATTATTCAGCCACAGACAAGAATGGAGTTCTGATGCCTGCTACAACACGAATGAACCTTGAACACATTATGTTGAGTGAAAGAAGCCAGACACAAAAGGTCACTATTGTATGATTCCATCCGCATAAAATGTCCAGAAGACAGCAAGCAGATTAGTGGTTATCAGGGGCTGGGGGAACGGGGAGTTATTGCTTAAAGGGTACGGGGCTTTCATCTGGGTGAAGAAAAGTTCCAGAAACAGACGGCAGTGATGGCTGCATGACACTGAGAATGTACTTAATGTCACTGAACTGGATACTTTAAAATGGCTAAATGGTCAATTTTATGTTATGTGTATTTTACCACAAGAAATTACATATATATATATGTGCACATATACACATATACTGGGCTGCTCCCTCGCTTGTGGGGTGGTCTCAGGATTAAAGGAGCTAAGGCAGCTGCGGCTGTTGTCATAACCGGTCTTGCAGGCAGTCCATCGTCTACCCCGCACCTGGCCACCGGGGAGCCTGCTTTGAAATGGGTGGGGGCTTGTCAAAGCACATTGCTGGGGGCCGACCATCTCCCCGCACCCAGCTGTCCCAGGGTCAGCGAGGGACACTCAAAGGTTCTCTGGTGCCCCTCCCCCATCAGACTCAAAACTTCCATCAAGCACGGTGTGTTTTTAAAACATCTGTGATGTGCTGTGACATCAGGAGGGAGCAAGGGTGTCACATAACAACAACCCCACGAGGTACTGAGAGCTCAGACAGCCCAACGATGGGCAGTGAACTCACAGTCCAAGTTAACACAGAAGCTTTTCCATCAAAAAGACAGCCGGCACGTGCAGAGAGGGCCGCAGGGTGCAAGGCGGAGCCAAACTCACCCTGTCCACGGTGTCTTTCACGGCTGGGACCGGCAGGCGTGGCAGCGAGGTCTGGAAGCTGTACAACATGGGCTTTCGGCCTGATAAAATCTTCACCATACCCTTCAAAAAAAAAAAAAAGTGACATTTAAAAAAACAAACCCACATTAAAGATCAGAAGCCAGTTCTCAACTGTATACAACTCGCCGATTATTTACAGATTTTCTGCGGCTATTTATTGTCCCTCCGGCCCATTTCTGCCCTCACACTCGCAGGCCCTAGCGAACCACACGTAGCCCCTAAATGAGAACTCTGTTAAACAGAAGCCTGAATCTGAGAGAAGCCTGGAGTGTAGCTGTCCCAGCATGGTTTACTGGCCTGGTCCCTCCTGCCGTCTGTGGTACTGCAGTACGGCTGCACCTGTGCACAAGGGTAAGTTTCGCCCCACCCACGTGTTCGAGCCCTTGGTTTCCGCGATTGACTTGACGTTCGTGCACGGGATCCAAGCTGAGGAACCTGGACCTCAAGCCATCCGCGCAGAAAGCCATTTCGTCTCTTCATTCATTGTCAGGCCTAATGGAGATCACACACTTGCCTACTCTCACTTTTATTTTAGCTCGAAAGATCTAAACATGGTGTAATAACTGGTCATCTCATGCTGACCAGACTGCAAGG